AAGGATCCTTGCTCTATCAATGAATTCAGTTATTTTTGTCATTCAGCAACTACTTTTGGTGTGGGTTGGCTTACAGTGTAAGCAGGATTTCCTTGTTGAGGCCTCGGAAACGTGTGCTGTGTCTTTTACGAAAACGCTTAGGGCTACTGACGCTGATGTTCATATGAGTCACTCATTCAGACAAGAGGATGATTTGGTGGTCCAACTTACTGGGGTGTGTTTTTTGATACTTGAACGTTTTTCCAAATCTATGCCTACTAAATAAGCCGAAGGGAACTCGGGGTGAAGGGGAGGTTGAGGGATGGCCACCAGGGCTGCAGAACTCCTGAGAGCCTTATTTAAAAATTTGTCCTAATTTTGGAAGATGCATGGCAAGCTCTTTCCTGTTATTTTTTTCTTTCAAGCTCAGAATTTCTAGCTGTATTATACACACAACCTGCTCAGGATTCCAGGTGAAAGTAACCATTAACTCGCACGCACACACACACACACACACACACACACACACACACATGCACACACGTTTTTCCTGTAATTAGATGCAGCCCCTTAGTGAGATGTAGTGGCGTGCAAATAGGAGCTCCAGCCTCCTTTTCGGAGATTCCCTAGCATCAAAGAGGCTATTCGGGTGATAAAAATAAGTATGACAATAATTACGGGCGGCTGCTCATGTTTACTTGAGTACCAGGAATGGTACAAAGTATTTTACAGCCGTTACCTCGCAAGAGACTTCAAAGTCGGCTCTGTTGGTATTTCCCTTTTTTTACAGATGAGGAAATTAGGACGCAGAGATTAAATAACCTGCCTAAGTAAGGTGCTGGTGAGTCGTGGCACGGGGGCTCCTGTGCAGCATTGTCTAACTGTCAGCCTCCGCTCTCAGCCAGCTGCCTGGAAGCCAGAAGAATTCTGGCTTGCTGTAGACAGCAGCAGCTTTCCCAGAGGTCTCCCGAATCCACAAGGAAGTAACTGGACTTCTATCAGACAGGACGCACTGTAGATAATCAGCCTAGAAGAGAAGGTAAATCCAGCGGCCTTGAGGAAGCCACTAAAAGCAGAGACGCATATGAGACCATATGCGCCCATATGAGACCAGCTGTTAGATGGTGACAGTCACACCCACCTCGAGGTCAGCGACCGGGGGTGGGGGGGGGGGCAGAGGGTGCAGGGGGCAGCGGGGAGACAGGTGGGCGAGGTGAGGGTGGAGTCAGGGCTGGAGCCTAGGTAGATTTTCAGGGGCAAGTCTCACCTCCGCCTGCCGTGGGAAGCGTTGGGCTCTGTCTGCTGGCCCCGGGCCCACCTCCCTGGGGGAACCCCGACGGGAGGCGGAGGCATAGATGCGATTGCAGCATTGCGGCCCCTGTCAGTCAGTGTGGGTCCTCAGCCTTGGTCCCCGTGTCTGAGTCTCGGATATGGTGACATATTGACCACTTGACAAATGCTCACAGCCCCGTGAGCCAAGTGCCTCACACGCAGTATTTAATCTGTTAGCCGCCTCATGGGGGTCCTTTTGGTTAGCCAGGGTTTACAGGTGAGGAAATTAATCTCAGCGAAGCTAAAATAACCTTGCTGAGGTCGCCGAGACAGAAATCAACCCCAGATCTGATGATTCAAAAGCTTCGTGCCATTGCTGCCTTCCTTCCTCAGGAGCCTTGCTGTGGGCTTCCGGCCACACTCCGGGCTGCTTCCTGCTCTCAGCTCACCTGGTCCTTGCCAGACACCCGCCTGCAGGCCTGAGCACAGCCACCCCACAGTTCCCAAGGCTTGGCTAACCCGTGATTCCTGCTGGGGACACCTCCCTGCTGCTCTGGCCCACCCAGTGGTGGCACGTCTGGTCCCTCTCGTCTGTCTCAGCTCAGTCCACGGTTCTAACTCCAGACCCCTCCTGCTTTGCTCTTTCTTATTTAAATACCTAGAACGTAAGCCAGTGGAGGTTGGACACACGAAGGCAGAGAGCTATGCATTTCTCTGGCATTTGCGTGTTTGAGTCATCACATTCGTTTGTGAGCCTCTCGATGGCAGGGACCATGTCTTCGATCCGGTGCTTCTCAAACTGTAATAAACCTACAGGCCTCCTGGGGATCTTATTAAAACACCGTTGTTTAGGTTGAACAAAACTGGGGAGGAGCCCAGGACTCTGCAGTTTTATTAGCTCGTAGGTGATGCCGGTGCTGATGGTCCAGCGGTCATGCTTTAAGCAACACGGCTTTACCAGTCTATCGTTTGATATCGAAGTGGTGCATTTTCTTATGCCTTCCTAGTAGACTAGATGCTTCTTGCGAGCCAGACTATTTCCTTTTGCTTCTTTGTGCCCCCGCCGCGCGGTGCATGCGCTCAGTACGTATTTGTTGCACGAATAAATGGACGTACGAATGCGTCATTCTCTGTGCCATGACAGCGCTTCGCGTGAACTGAGCATCAGGAATGAATGAATGAATGAATGAATGAATGAGTAGATGAACATGTGCGTCCTTGATTCGAATCAGCAGACAGCGGAGTGATAAATCTGAAGCCATTGCTTAATTTCCCTAGAGTTGGGGCAGAAGGAGGGGAGGAAGTGAAAGAGAAGAAGCTGTCTGACAGCTTAGGCTGAGGCCTCACATAAAGCTGTCAAGTTAACACTGGAAACACGGCAGGGCCATCCTGCTTGCTCCCAAGGGCAGAACGCTTGAGCTTAGTGTCGTAGCAAAGGATTATGAAAGCTATAAGCACCTTCTGGGACTTCTACACAAGGCCTGTTTTCAATATGTGTTCCTCTTTTTCTGTGCTCCACTCCATATTTTTTTAAATGAACACATGCAGGGACACACACGCAC